TATTATTATTTTTTTCTACTTAGATGTTGGAGGGAATAAAAAATATTTTTCTAAAGAAATAATTTCGCCTAGATGTTGGAGAATTATTATTAATAAATTTTCATAAAAAGAAATATATAAGAAACTTTTAATTAATTTTCAAAAATCATTAAAATCGAACTTGCTTCGAAAATCCATCTAGATGTTGGAGATTTTTAGAGATGTTCGTATTTTCTTAAAAACGAAACCTTAAACACTAATTCTTAATTTTCAAAAATCCTAGGTTTCTAAAACCCCTAAAATCCAAAATCCCCTAAAATCCAAAATCCTAAAATTCAAAATCTTAAAATCTGAAACTCCTAAAATCCAAAATCTTTTAAATCCAAACCCTTAAATCAAAAACTTAAACCTTCAATACCTTAAAACCAAACCATAAAACCATCAAAACTTAAATCCAAACCCTTAAAATCCGAATCTTCAAAATCTTGAAATCCTAATCTTTAAAACCTCTACTCGAACCCTTACTCAAAACATCATGAAAATCCTAAAGACCCATGTGAAAATCTCATTTGAAGGAATTTATTCTCGAATGCCACCTATATGATGGGATATTTAGGAAATTTTACCTCGTTAAGTCTTTTCACATGATTTCTTAATTCGCATTAATAATAAGATTAATAAGTAAAAAGTATAATAGTAAATTGAGATCTTAAATATAAACAGTCGTACCTAAGCTCTACATAGATGTTGGAGAGTCGGGGTGTCTCATTATACTTAAGAACCCCACTTTTAAATTGCATTTCATTTTACATGACATTCATTAGCATTCATACGTTATCGTGTTATCATCGATAATTATATGCATTATTCTTTCTTTAATTTACTGTTTGATGATAAAATATTTTATAATAAAAAAGAATAATACATTTTAAAATTTTTTTTGTGATTTTATAAAATAAAATAAAAATAACATTCCAAATGAAATAATTCTTGGTACTCTACTTAGATGTTGGAGAGTCACTAACAATTATCTTTTATAAAGATTGTTATTTCATTTTAAGGATTATCGTGTTAAATCTTAAACGAAAAAAGTTATTTTAAATTCTGCCTAGATGTCGAAAAATTTTAAGATAATTTTTTAACTTAAAAATTTTCTCAATATTTCTGAATAAAAATTTTAGCAAAAATATTTTTTTTAAAAATGAAGGGAATTAGTATTAAATTTCAAATTGAAACCATTTTTATCCAATACCGAAAATAGTGTGTAATTAAATGGTACTAATTTATAGGCGTTGTGAGAGATGCTAATCCTTCCCCACAAATAACCGACTCTCGAACTCAATCTAATTTTTCGTAGATCAAAATTTATCTTTTTAATAAACTTTAAACTCGTTTTTATAGTTTTATTAAAAAGATAAACTTTTGGATGATCAATCACACTCTAACAAAGATTGGTGGCGACTCCTTTTTATTTTTTTCGATTTTAAAATACTTTACGTCTAACGATCCCAAAACCGTTACAACAATATTCTAATTCCCTTTTATATTCTATAATTATTATTCTAATTCCCTTCACCTAAGCTTATCTCACCACAAAAAAAATTTTATATACTAAAGTTTAGATATATTGATGGTCAAATTTCGTCAATAAAAGAGATTTTTACTAATAGATTTTTAATAGTGTCAGAATATATTATACTTATACTTATATTTTATTTAATCGTTAGTATAAATAAATTTTTTTTAATTATATATGATTATCCGTTAGTATAAATATATTATATATTGACGATTATTAACGTAACCGTCAATATAGACTCAAAACAAAAAATATATTTTTTTAAGTGTTGTAAGTTCAAATTTGCGATAATTTCTCTGTAATCTCTAAAATTTGTAATACCATATCTATTAAACATGTACTATAAAACAGGAGAAAAATTTTTAGTTTTGTAAATGGACAACTGAATTTGTATTTGCTTTATCTCATGGAACAATATAATAAAGCTTTTTATTAAAAAAAATGCAAATCTTACTAATATTTAATCCATTAACTTGCACGAAGAATAGAACATGCAAAGCATGTGAACAACTACATCTAAAAAATGAAAAATAAGCAAGCTTATAAAGGCTAATAATGCGAATAAATTAAGGCATCTTGAACCCAATTTCAAATCTCAATTTTGAAAAATAATATGTAATAAATTTAATATTTAAATTTTAACATTTATAATTCATTTTCATATTTTCAAGTTTCGACCTTTTTTGTACAACAAAAAGCATCATAAAAAGCAAGAAAAAAAGTAGCAAATATGAAAGAAAGTTTTTGTCCAAATGCTATAATGACAGACTCCATTTTACTAAGAGAAGAAAACAAAACACAGAGGAGGTGATTCTATTGTATAATTATTGATAAAGTATAGGCTTAACCAAAGAAGCATTTAACTCAATAATAAGCAGTTGCATTACTTATCAAATTTGAGGTTCGAGCTGGTCATAAACCTTTGGTAAGATTAAACCTAACTTTCTTTGTCGAGTACTCAAAAAAGTTGTGACCCAAGTGAAGAAAAATATTTATACAATTTTAATTTCGAACCAAAAAAATTATAGGTTTGAAATTTATTTTTTTAAGTCTCAAATGGCTCGAATTCTGTAATCCCATTTAATTGGTTGCATATGCGTACATATATGTATAAGACTATAAACTTGAAGTCAAATAAAAACGAAAATTTATTTATTTTTATTTAATCTTGTGCATTTGATACTCAATAGATAGTGAAAAGAACGAGAGAACGCACAATCTGTTCGCATGAAAGTGCATGAGGGCACACTTGCACCCATGGTTAGTGCACAAACATGAACATTGAAGAGCAATATTTGCCAAAGAAAATGAGTAGATACACAACAATATTGTAGCCTAAAACACTCAAAATAATTCTAGAAGGCAGAGATACCCTTATAATATTACAAGCTGATCAGATTTTAGGATTCTTATCACATGGTGTCATGGATTTTCTTATAATCCCACTCCTTTTTTTTGCTTTACTTTTTCAAGTCTTAACAAAACAATCTTTTTGGCCAGTAGGAATTGATCGAGTTGATATGAATTGAATACTTCATTTGCAATAAATTTAATTTTCGTTAACAGTATTTTTTTTGAGTATATATAAATCCAATACAAATTCTTTATGAGACCTACGGTCTATTTTGACTTGAATTAGAAAAATTTTCCCTCACCCTAATTTTTTTTTTTTGAAAAAAATAAAAATAAAATAAAAATCTTAGGAGAAGTTCAAAGCCCAATTTTATGTTTAATTGGTCTTTCCAAAAGATGGTTTGAAATTAAATGGGAAAATTTTGAACTATGAATTTTACTTAAAACACTTTAAAAATACCATGTTTTATATATATATATATATATATATAATTTCACAAACGAAAATAAAAGATGATCACATGTTTCAGTATTTTAAGTAAACTATTATATGTTTTAATTTCATAATGGGATTAATAAGATGTTTTATTTTTATTTGAAATTATTAAAATTAAAATTTTAATCACTGAAATTAAAATTTTAATATTTTATTAATAATTTATTTTAAATTATTTTTTACTATGCCCTAAAAATATCTATTATCCTATTAATCATGCAGTCAAAAAATGTGATAATTTTTTTTTATATTTTTAACTTTTTATCATTTTTCTAATCGGAATTGCAAGGTAGAACACGTGGAACTATTAAAGAGGCAGCTGCCACGTTTCATTTTGGATTAAAGAAATGAAATTAATAAATTGCTTTGGAAAATGTTTTGGCTTGGTCTATCTCTCCAAATGATTTTGTCTACTTTATTTTCCCTTATCGTTGAGCCTTTTGATACCTTCCAATTTCCATATTAAAATGCTACTTAAAATGATCAACTTTTTGTTTGTCTTCTGAGAAAGAGAAAATTTTAATCCCTCTTGGAAACTGCTATTAATGAGAATATTATTATATGCAGCCACTAGACCAGGTACCTTCCACCGCCAAAAAAAAAAAAGTTCAACTGAAGAACCAAACCAAAGTTATTGTTTTATTCCCTGAAATTCATCGTCTCAATCCATGATTTTTTCTTGAGATTCTGAAGAGAAAAAGCTTTCAATAAAGTGGGACAAAACTAGAAAGTAAGAAACGTATGGTCTGCTTGATGTCTGTGAAGGAATGTGAATGGAATATCTTTTGATGCTGATTTTTTTTGGGAAAGAATAAAACCCATAGTTAAAAATGTATAGATTGGTACATTTCTTCAATAGAGATGAGAACATTTCATTAAAAATGTACAATGATTTTAGCTTTTTCCTTTTGTCATTTTCTGTTTTTATATGCTTGGGCTATGTTGGATGAGAATATTATGGAACTACTAATTTTTGGCCTTCAGATTTTTCAGTTTTTGAAACTTTGATGACTAATCTGGGCTGTCAGGCTGTAAATTAACACAGGCCTGGATAAGCTAGGCCTGAAGTTATATGAACATAATCAATGCGGAACTTGCCTTGGTTTGTTGGTTTGATCATACTGATTTTAGCCCATGAAGTTTCATAAGGTTCGGATGCTAAGTAGCCTATTGAATAGTATTGTTCATGAACTTGAGTCATACTCCGATCGGTACATGTAGCTATTCTTAAGAAATGACATTCGATAAGATTCAGATTCAAATTTTAGTATTTGCATCCTTTTCTCTTTTCCCCTACTGAAAGCAAAATGTTTCACCTGACTGGAAATATTAATTCAATCAAGTTTGATTGACATTCATATTACATTATTTATGCAGCATTGATCTCTTCTAATACAATTTGATGTCTGTTTTCAGAAGTGCGAGAACATTCCTATATATGCTAGTTCCCCGACATAATTTACAAGGCTGAAACTTTGAAGAAGGTTACTCTAACCAACTCTAGAAAATACCAAATGTTATGGTATTGTTTCTTTGTTTTCCCATGCTGAAAATTAGCTAGAACTGCCTTATTTTGATGATGTTGGAGAGAACTCATTCATCAAAAGGCTCTCTTTCCTGGGCAAGTTCAATATCATAGCAACTTCTATGAATTTGACCACTTGCCATAGAATTTGATTCACAACTCTTGTAAAATAGGCAACAGATGATTGTGTCAAGAACAATAAGGAGAGAATACAAATAAGCAATCAGTAGCCCTTCCAATGCCATAGATGCACTAATCTCTCCTAAAAACAGGTAAATTCTTGTCACCCTGAATTGAAACAAGGCTTCAATTGCAACAAGGCCCAAATTTGTGGGGAGAAACAACAAGAGAGCCATAGAATTTTTACCTTTTCTCAGCAAACAAGCCTTATAGATTGCTACATGTCCTTTACATGCTTCCATCCCTGCCACAACCAAAGCTAAGTTGCTAACCACAACTGTGTTGGCAAAAAAAGAGTAAAAAACGGCTCCAAAAGCTGGTAGAATTAGGCTGATATATGGTATCCAAAATGATTTCAGAGAATTCAGGGAAATGAAAAGGAGAGAAAAGATTGCCAAGTTGATGGCAATGATCATGACTAAGCTGCAAAGGTGCGTTAAGAGTAGAGGTTTATAAACTGATATGATATTACAAAAGGGTGCTTGAAGAGATGGTTTATGCTGATTCAAAGCTTGAATTATAGATGCTTTTGCCATGATGAAGGATGAAACTGTAAAAGGGAGACTAAAAACAAAGGGGAAAACAGTTTGGGATTTGATCTGAGAGGAGAAAGAAAACCCTGCAAGACCAAAGATGGAATCAAATTGATCAGCATGATGGATGGTTTCAGAAAGTGGTGAATAGTATTTGAAAGGGGTTTGTGAAAGAAGGACAGAAGCTGAGAAAGGAAGCAAAAGGAGAACTGGGATGGTGGTGAAGTAGTGAAAATAGTTCAGGAAGGTATGGATTGAAGCTCTGATGATTTTTCCTGCACAATCCATTCGAACAGATTGGGGTGGTGAAGGATTCATTCCCCAAGTTAAAATTGTTAAGACGAAAAAAAAAACTACTCAAAATATAAGAGAGAGACATTGACATTTACTTCTTGTTTTCTAGATTTGTTTAACCTGTTGGGTTACTTTTTTTTACATCTCTTTCCAACCACCAGAAACTAACACATAACAGCCAAAATATAGGTCTTTCTTTGTATAATTATGGCTCATATTGCCTAAAATTTAACTTGATTCTTATTTAATTGTTACAGTGTTTTTTTCTTACAGGTTTTAGGGATTGGAAAATTTTAATAGATGAATTGCAACTTTAAATATTTAATTAAAAATTTTAATTTATATACAAGATTATATATTTTTTTCTAAAACTTACTCATATCAATAGATAAAGGATAGTTTAAAACTATTATTTTAACACTGAAACAAGTCCTATTCAAATTTGCAGACAAATATAATTAAATTGTGAATTAAATATCAGGATAACATATTGATTTTGACTAAAAATCTTCAAGCAAACACAAATTCTGGCAATGGAAGGTGATTGGAAATGTCCTTATCTCCATAATTAAAATTTGAATGAAGATGAAAGGTTCAAATTATATTTTTAAAGGATGTGAAATAGCTCTTTGTACTTTGTATAGGTTGGTATTAGATCTAGAGAGTACCAAACACCATTAAACTTACCATGCTGATGCAAGGGAAGCCTAGCTATATAGTTGGGGCAAAGCTAAATGGGCAATGCCATGGCTTGTTGTCTCCATAATCTCACCAATAGCTAAACATTTTAGTGCTAATATGAAGATGCTTGCACCAAAATTAGGATAAAATTTATGGTGGAGTTTATCATATTTTGGTTGAAGGGTTTTCATTCACTAGCTGGAAGAGTAACAAGTTAAATGATGGTAGGGTTTAGAATGGTCAAGGTGTTACATAATAGTGAATTATTAATATTAATTTTTATTATCCGAACACATTTCTCAAACTTTTTTTTAAAAGATAAAATTGTAAGGATAAATTTTTTTTCTCAATGAATTTTAGAATTAAAATTTTTTTATAAAAATCATTATATTCAATTAATTGCATATTATAATTTTTTTGTTTTAAAAATTTTTTAATGAAGATAAATATTTTTTTTTAAAGGCAAGATGAAGAGAGATTTATTTATTCTAAGATCAAAGTAAATCATAAATCTCATAAAATATTTATATTAAATTTAAATATCGTCCAAAAAAATTATTGATAGTAAAACTCGAATGTAAAAATAAAAAAATTAAAATCAAAATCAATTGTATGTATCAAAAAAATTATTAAATTAACTATTCAATTTAGTGTTGTGAACTATTTAAACCACTAATAAAGAAAAAAAATATTATACCAAATATTTACCTTTATTCATTCCAAATTTGTCTCAGCATACAATGATAAAGTTCAATTGTCCATAAAAAAAAATGATAAACTTCTATTAAATTGATAACTCTGTAATTTCCCCAGAATGCCTAATTTGCCCTCGCTATTGAACCAAATTCACAATTCATTCCAGTTTGACTTTACGATAATCAAATAAATCTTAAGGGTATTTACGTCATATCATGTTTAACAAATGAAAATTCCAAACTCTCTCCTCTGAATATTTGCTTTGAAGTTTCAGCAACTCTGATTCGACTTTTTTTCCTTGTACAGATTTGCTATCGAAATTCTCATATTCTCCTCTGTAAGTCCATTTCTTTCTCTCTTTTATATCATTATTTTTTTTTACATTTTTATTTCATTTTCATTTTTTTGAATAATGAGATCTGTTTGCAACTGGGGTTCTTGAGAATTGAATTGTATTAGGATTTTAGTTTCTGGGTCATTTAAATTTCAATTTTTCTTGTATTTAATGACTGCCCAGTTTAATATATAGCTCAAAGATAGGTTCTTTACTTCTAGAACAATAAAAAAAAGTGAAATGTTTGGTTGTTTAATGATTTTATTTTGGGTGATAAATTATTTATAAAGAAAAACTGCAAATTTGATTTTAATTACTCTGGTTTTCATTGAAATAATGCATATCAACTGCTAAATTTTATGTTTTTTTAAGCTTGACCCTTTGCATTTGGATTTTCAGAGGTGATTTGGTTGGCATGTAAGCAAGAATATATTTTAGTTCATTGTTGCATTTACTAGTAAATTGTCTAAATATCATTTATTGGTGTATTTCTTTCATAACTTCTTTATTTGATATATGAAGTGATCAATTTTTTTTGTATTTTCGTGTTTAGACGATTCAGGTTTATTTGCAAAGGATCCTGGGAGATAGTTAAGGGTTTAAGTATTATGTCATCTAGGCGTCATGTTGGTTACAGTCCTTTAGCTGCTGATGACGATGATGGTTATGATGGGAATGGTGGAAGGCGTTATGACCCAAGGTTTGATTATTCACCAAAAGCCTTTGATAAAGTCCCATGGAAGTCCATTGCCCTTGCAGTCTTTTTACTTTGTCTTGGATGCTTGCTTCTTTTTCTTTCGTTTTTCATCTTCACTGGGCATATGGGAGGAGAGAAATCGCAGGCCTATGGCCTTTTAGTCCTCGGAATTCTCACTTTCCTTCCAGGTACACAACCTATTCAACAAATCCTTTGAGTCGGAGATTTCATTTAACTATTGAAATAATTTACTTGTTTTCGTAGTACCTGATACCATAAATTAATAATATTTTGTTACTGAATGATGAAATTAGTCAGGGTTCTCAAGAAGAAAGTTGCTTGTAGTCCTTGGATATTAATTGAATGCTGTAGCATGGAGCTGCTGTGAAATCATTGTTTTAATTGTTTAATATAAGCTGTTTGCTGGTCTGGACCTGGGTAGATCAATTGGCCAAAATGCTTGGGAAGTGTTATGAAATTGCTAAAGCATCTGATGGTTTAGTATTGGTCCTTGCTGGTGTGGTTGTTCGTAGGCCATGGAATGTTTCGTTTTCTCCTTTGTTTTTGTATTGCTGCACTTTGGGAAGTCTAGGTTGAAGATGACACAAACCCCTTTGTGTGGATGGCAGAGAAGGGATTTGAGTACTCTCCTTGTAGGAGGGCCAGAAGATCTCCCTTAAAATCCCATCATTTTTCCCCTAATTCCTTCAAGTTGGGGAATTTTAGTGGGAGAAAATTCTTCCCTTGATGGAACTTTTGAATTTTTATTTTTTAAAGATGAATTTGCTTTTGGACTTTCAGTTTTATCCTCAATAATTTAATTGTTTTTACTCAAATACTAAGGACATTGTTGTCAAAGAGATGCTATCTATCATCTACCTTAATCCTTTTCACTTCCCCCTCATGTTCATACATTATTTTTCTTCTGGCCTCCCTAACATACTGTGAGTTGTGAGGCTTTTCTGTTTCCTTCCCTTTTTTCAGTTACAGAGAGACTTAAACCATTTATCTGTTTCCTTTCCTATCATTATGACCCGCACTGAAACAAACATTCTTTCCTTTCATTATGACCCGCACTGAAACGAACATTCCTGCAATATGCATTACATACTGAATAGTGCACGACGATTGCAACTATGGAATATGATATGACACAACATATTAGTTTTCCTGCATTGCAGGACAAATAACTCACATAATGTATTCCAGAATAACTTATCAACCATCTTTCTGATGTCTCTTGAAAGCCTCTAGCAATCTGCTTTGAATTCATCTTTAGCTACTGTCAAACATTGAAAGAGCTTGACCAACACATTTTTTTTTTTATTGATTGGAACTTCTATTGTGCAGGTTTTTATGAGACTCGGATCGCTTATTATTCCTGGAGGGTACTGAAGGATACCGCTTTGCTTCCATTCCTGATTACTAGGACGTGTCATGTTCCTCGAGTTGATGCATGCCCGCCATCTTTTACACGAACTTCATTACCTTACAGTTAAGAGCTTGTCTAAAGAAACCATACAAGTCTGTAAATTGTTTAATTTTGAATGTAATCTGTTTGTTACTTTATTGATTTGTCAATGCCACGTCATCCAAATCTATGACGCTTTTGCAACTAAAATTTATTTTATTCTGCTATTATCTCCACTCTTATTTTTTATTACAGTACTTCGTTTCTTATTAAAAAAATGGTTTTTTTTTTTTATTTTAAATCCTGATTTGCCCTTCTAAAAAAAAAAAAAACCGCCTCGAACCTTAAAACTCGGAGGAGAGACAAAAAAGAAAAGAAAAAGGGGACATCACTGTCATTCCGCCAAATCCTTAGTGGCAAAATAGCTCTTATATTTTCAGCCTGTAAGAGAAGAATCCTTCCCTTGTTCGCTCTCTTTCGCTCTTCTCCGATCGGATTCTCCAACAAATAAAAATGCTAGACCAGGCAATTCCGATCAAATCAGATAATTTTACACTTACTTTTCATGATTTTTAACGGTTCTGATTGAATTGATTTTTATTTTTTTCTGATTTTTTTGGTTTGAGAAAAAATGGATGGATCAGGAGGAAGAGGAGGAAGTGGAGTGGATAATGTATTAACTAATTACAAGCTTGGAAAAACGCTTGGAATTGGTTCGTTTGGAAAGGTTAAAATTGCTGAACATGCTTTAACTGGTCGTAAAGTTGCTATTAAGATTCTTAATCGCAGAAAGATTAAGAATATGGAGACGGAAGAAAAAGGTATTTTTTTAAAAAATGTTTTTGGTTTTTAATTATCGTCTTTTTTAGGTTTTGTTTAGTTTTTGAAGTAAAAAAAGAAAAAAAAACTGAGAATTAAAAATAAAATAATTTATTAGCATAACAAAACTCATGACTTTTTAATTTACTGTTTATTAATTATATTGTTCACGTGATTTATTTTTTCTGAATTACCTTTTTTTTTTTTTTTTGAGTTTGTTGTTTTGAAGGATTCAATTTCTGAGGTTCCTTTTGTTTATTACTTTGAATGATCAAATTTCTTTTTTTATTGCTGTTATATTGGAAATAATTCATTGAGTAAACGAAAGAAAAGAGAACTTTTAGTAGTTTCTCGGCCAATCTTTTGCATGAGTCATGGATGCTTGAATTCTTGCTTACAGTAGTTAAATTCTGTAGAATTATTGTTTGAGAGAGGCTTAATTTTTGCTGCAGTTAGGAGAGAGATTAAAATTTTGAGATTGCATATTTATGCTTATCTGATCTTCTCTTTGTTGTTTCTCTATCCTGTCAATAATTTCCGAAATAGATTTTCGCTTTCAATCCTGTTTCTTTCCTGCTTAAATCCCGAAAGTGATGATTTGGAATTTGCATTATTTGTCTTTCAGGGGTCTTCCAAGCCATTTTTCTCCTGGTGCTAGAGATTTGATCCCATGGATGCTTGTAGTTGATCCAATAAAGAGAATGACCATTCCTGAGATCTGCCAGCACCATTGGTTTCAAGCACATCTTCCAAGATATTTAGCTGTCCCCCCACCAGACACAATGCAACAAGTGAAAAAGGTTGATTTTTTTCTTCTAAGCTCAACTTCAGTTGTAAATATGCTTATGGACTGCTATATGACATGATGTGAAAATTGTCTGTTATGTTCAAATAAATATACCTGGAGTGCATCTCCTTGTAAAATTCTGAATTGTTGCCAGCTTTTAGATGTAGTTTTGCTACACGGTGACACGGTGGTTTGTGTCACTGGGGAAACCTTTTGAGCATTCACGCCATTAATGTTAACATGGGAAACTTTGTAATTTTTTAGTTCTCCTTGTTCTTTATTGGACTCTTGGAAATAGGTTTGCTCCAATAAGTTATTTCTCTACAATCCCCTATACCCTAACATCCTTTTTTATTTTTTTTAATACCCAACATCCTATTTTTTATTGGTGTCACAAGCCTTGCCTATATGCTTTCCGGATCATATCTTAAGATTTAGCTAGCTATTAGGTATTGCCTGAGAACTTTTAGATATCTGCTACATTAGATATTTTAATACTTGTTGTCATGCCATGTTCTAGTATCTATTGAAACATAATTACAGATTGACGAGGAGATCCTTCAGGAAGTGGTCAGGATGGGATTTGAAAGGAACCATCTGGTTGAATCTCTTCGCAACAGAATTCAATTCGAGGTTTGAACTTCTCCAACTCCTTATTTTCATGGTTTTTAGGCAGTTTCTTATTGCATTGAGTATCTTCCAGGGAACTGTTGCTTACTACTTACTATTGGACAATTGTTTCCGAGTCTCCAGTGGCTATCTTGCTGCTGAGTTTCAGGAAACTATGGTGTGCTTCTATTAGTACTTTTTCATTTTATTGCTAAACATTACCTAAAGCTGCCTCATATTATTGAAATGATTCTACTCATGAAAGAAATTGAGACTCATGATTTAATAGAGTCCACTCTTAAGTGATCTATTTCTGTTAGTTTAGTTGATTGACATTATCTTTCTTCTTCCTTTCCTGACTCTCACATACAGTTGGAATTCTAATGCGTTTTTTAAATCCATTTTTTAGGAATCTGGCTTCAACCGCATCCATCCAAATGAACCTACAGCTCCAGCTTTTGGACACCGTCTTCTGGGATGTGCTGATTACCAAGCAATGGGTTTAAGAGGCCTTGAGAGGAAATGGGCTCTTGGACTTCAGGTTAAGTTTGTGATTTCCAAGAGGTTTTCCCACACCGAGGACTTTCTTTGACATTGATAGTAGTTACATTGGTGATTAGACATCAATTCATTGGGCATTCTGAGGTCTATACTTTTATTTCAAATAATGACTAGCCATATTAAAAATGAACTACAAACAGCAGGATAAATGTGGTTGATACTTTTACTAATTGAGAAGTTTGGACAATTAAGAATTTATGGCTGGGTTTAGTATGTAGCACATGTATTCTGGAGTACCAGTACTGGGACTAACCTCTTTTATGCACCAAAGTTTGACATTGCGCTGTTTTTAGTTTATAGTCTTGAGCCCATCCACGTGAAATCATGACAGAAGTTCTAAAAGCTCTGCAAGAACTCAATGTCTGTTGGAAGAAGATAGGGCATTACAACATGAAATGTAGGTGGCTTCCTGGTCTTAATGAGGGCATGGTTAACAATCCTGTGCACAATAATCACTACTTTGGGGATGAATCAACCATTATCGAAAATGATGGTGTTACCAATTCTCGGAATGTTGTTAATTTGAAGTGCAGGTAATATCTAACTGATTATCCTGATAGCAAACGGAATTTTTTGAGGATATCAGGGGTTTGGGGTTGAGAATAGATGATTTATGGTGCTGCTTAGTTGTAGATTGCTGAATGCCCTCAATAAATGTTCTAACATTTTTTTTGCTGCCATGGATGTCGACAGCTTTACAAAACTCGTGAGGGAAGTACCTGCTGAATCTTCAGAGGGTTCAGGGGCCACAGTTTCTCTTCTTGGATCTTTGTGCTGCATTCCTTGCGGGTCCTCTAACATGATAAGGCTATATTTCCAAAGACCCTTGTGCATGGATCTCCTATGATGCATGTGAATAAGAACATTCGATGTATATGACTCTTTTTGCCATTTTTTTGAAAATATCTTTTTCCTTTTTTGGTTTGACTAAACCTTCACCTTTTTGTTTTGTAACCCTCCATTTTAGATGGGTACTTGTGGAGCCAGTCCTCAACACTAGGGTTGGCGAAGGCAATATTACTGTGTTAGTCCAGGTTCTGACGCAGTTTGCCTTCATCATAACTAGGGTTTCCACAATGTTGTGGAACCTAAGGAGAATTTTTATGAATTATCATGATAGAATTAACCTTTGGTCATTTGGATCATATCGATCTGTTTTTCGCTTCTATATAGTTGGGCTTTAGTGGATGAGATGCTCTTTTATTTTGCTCGAGCAAAAGCAACTGTAAAAGAATCTAACTAGGCTCAACCGCAAACGGAACTACTCTTTTTTTTTTTTTTCATACCAAGTAAGAGAGTCTGTTAGTTAGAGAATCTAACTAGGCTCCCATCACCCCTTTCTCCTTTGATGACATTAAAAAATGTTTGGTTATTAGAAATAGGTTAATCGATTTTGGTTATGTTTTTTAAAGATGTTAAGTTATTGGTTTTTCAAGACCGAATCAATTGAATTGATCAGACCAATAGCTCACCTTTATAAACATGCTTACTTGTCTCGGGTTTCAGTTTTTGGGTTCAATCTGACATTTGGAAGCATTTCTTCCACAGCCAGACTATGCTGGTTGGAGATTTGTGGGTGACATAATACTATAATAGAACTATGATGCCCAAGGATCAAATCTAGTGAACTTTGTCATGATATACTTGAAAAGAATGCGTTCTTTTGGCAATTAAACATCCATATACTTAGAACAAGGATATTAGGCTACTTAAGTATATATTGTACATTGAATAAGGTCAAAGAGGAATCGAACTTTCGGTTTTAACTCTTTCGATATGGAGATGAAAGTGACTTGGTCAAGCTTTGATCAAATCCGATAAAGCCAAATCCAATAAAGCCAAGACTAAACATTAATAAAAAAACCAGAAAAGAAACACTTTAATTTTCACATTATGTAGATATTCTTTCGTGCAATAAAATTTAGGTAAGAGAGGGGTTATTGTAGATTTCAAAAATTTATATTGAATTTACACATCGTTCGTCAAGAAAGATTATTTGTGAAGGAAATCGAATATAAATCTTATAAACAAAGCATTCAATGCTTAGTTAACTCAACCAATTTATGTTGACTCACATTATGTGGATATGAACAAACTTAGGATAAGCTTTACACCAGTGTCAAAATTTGGGTGAGTAAAGCTTGGAATATAATTTACCCTTCTTTAGGGCCTAATTAAGTAATTATAAGTCATTGAAAATACTGAAAGAGAAGTTTCAAGTTAATGGTGAGTGCACAAACTTCAGTCTCTTCTGCCTTTTTTAACTCCAAAATTTTTCATTTTTTATGATCTCTCATATACGAGAAAAAGGGGAAAAAAATGACTAGATGCAAAATGTTGGTTACTAGCTAGAAATCTGAAAAATACATTTCATTGTTCCTTAATATGTAGATGAAGATCACCATTACATGGAATTTTGAACGAATATAAGTTATGAACAGCAGATCCTATACCGTTAGTTAACAAAGACAGATGGGTGGAAGATCAAGTGAGCTCCAAAGAGATTCACCATCATTTCCTGTTGAAAAAGGCCCCATATCCACTGAACTTGAAGAATCAAACGAACTTTGTGGACTTTCCTTCTGTTTTTTCCCCATCATTTCTGAATCATTTCCTTTCTCATTCTTCTTGTTACATGCATTTTGAAGTTTTGTCAACTGTTCAGATCTTCCTCTCTCCATGACTTTTTCTGAACCAAGCTTTAGCCTTAACAACTCTGGTATCCCATTGAAAGCATAGAGAGAAGCTGAGAATTTCCTTTCGTATGTCATTCTCTTCACGGCAGCACTAATAGTCGAGGGTTCATCTCCAAAACAGTCTGGTTCCATTGGTATCTCAATCTCTTCAGCAATCTGAAAAGCAGAATAGTAACAAGATGATCCAATATCATCCGCAAACTGGAAAGCAGAATAGTAACAAGATGATCCAATATCATCCACAAACTGGAAATCCAATGCCCCCATATCATGACTTTCTTCTCCATCTTCTCTTTCCTCTCCAATATCATCACCATCAACCCGGGAAGATTGAGCCGCATCACTGAATGTGAAATTGGAATCCAATTCTCTCCTGGAAGAATCTTTGTTATCAGTTAAACATGATTCAAGACTTGTTGTCAAGTCGCCAGCAGCATTTGCAGTTGTATTGTTGATGTTATCATTTGACATGGAATAATCTTCAGGATCATTAAGAAAATCAGGAAACTCACTATCCAAGAAATCTGTTGTTTCTTCTCTATACTCCTGAACTTGCTGCATGGGTTGCTGGTTGATAGGTGGTGAAGTAGGCAAAGGAGCACAGGAATTGTTCCTTGCTTTAAGCCTTTGGAGAAGGAGATTAGTAATCCTTGAAGAAAGAGCTGGGGTTGAATTAGATGATGGAGAACAAGGCCAGAAGTTTGTCCTCGTATTGGCACCCCGAAGCAAGCAAGCGGCCTCATCATAGGCCCTGGCTGCTTCCTCTGCAGTATCGAAAGTGCCTAACCACACCCTTATCTTCTGTATGGTGTCTTTAATCTCCGCAACCCATCTGCCTGATGGCCTTTGCCGGACACCAACAAATCGCTTCCTAGCTCTCCTAGGTCCTCCTAGTGCAGCTGTTGCTGCAGCTTCCTTCACCATTTCATCCCAAGCCATAGTTTGTTCACTAGCAACATTTTTCTCTTCCACCACTTCACCAACATTTCTTTTCCTAGCCATTATTCTTTTTCTTCTATTTCAGTTATGGGCAGTTGGCAGATGATTTTGCTGCTTTGGTTCTGTTCCGTTGGTCTGCATTTATATGAAAACAGTGAAGATCCTGTCCAATGAGAGGAGAGATTTGAAAAGGTCTTAATGTTTGTTCATACCTTTTTGTTCTTTTTTAATTCAGCTCCATATCAAAACAGATGGAAGTTTCTCACTCTCTCCTGGACGATCATGAATAAAAAAAAAAAAATTCATGATTGATGCATTTCAGGCCCTGACCAAGTCAAAGAGGATCTTTACTTCCATTTGGTAAGTTCTAAGCACTTGTTTTTTTCAATAATATATTCAATTTTTAATGTGATAAATTTAAGCATGAATGCTTCATCACTGGTTATATACCTTTCTTCGTTTCTCTGTACTTTTTTTCTTCATCAGAACAAAGTACATTTTTGCGAATAATCTAATAGCTTTTTAACAGTGGAACATAGAATTCATCATTGTCTTGAAAGAGACATACCTGTACCCTTTTAATTGTATGTCTTGGAAAACCAGCTTGATTTTAAAACCAGTGAAAATGATATCCAAACGATGCACGATAATCATTGTATTGACTTTCATAGAATTATTCATAATTTGATTTTAATCGAATTAAATAATTAAATTAATTGAATTAAATTAATTGATTGATTATTAAATTAATTTTGATTAATTATAAAAATTTTAATTTTTAATTAATTCAATTTAAAAATCGAATTAATTGAATTAATTAAAATTTTAATAAAAAATATAATAAAACTTATATATAATTAAAAATATATAAAATTATCCATTTTATCTCAAGATATTAAAGGTTTTAAGTTAATATTTTGGTGTTTGAATATTTTTATTGGATGATTTTATTTAATTTGTTTTAAATATAAGAAATTAAAAATTAAAAAATAATTTAACTTAATGTATTTTATTATCTAGTTAACCAAAAAAATTAATCGAATCAACCGAATTACTTTTGATCATTTAATTTTTAAAATAAAAAATTTGATTCGGTTAACAAAAATAAAATAATATAATTTGGTTAATTTGATTTTGAATAAATCAATTTAAAATTAATTAAATCGATCGAATGAACACTATTATATTTACAAGTAGAGATTTTCTTGGTTATTGTGTATAATAAATATCTACTAGTAATTTCCATTTTTTAATAAAATCGTACTAAAATCTACATTTTTGTAATCATTAACTGTTATTTAAAGTACAATTTGACAGTTCCACAAAGTTTGAATGTGTTATGAGCTTAAATTTAGTTTAGTTTGTTCATACGACCATTGAAATAACATTTAATAAATTTGATATTCAAATCTTAATATTTACCATTCTACTACACTTTTTCTTATAACTTAGATTAATTTTATCATATAAGAATTGCTGATATAAAAAATTGATCCTGAAAATTCAATATATCCAAGCACTTACACATTCTTCTGTGATGAAAATGTCTTGCAATGGTATATAAATTACAGCAAAAGCACTTGGTTTTCCATGGAACTGTAATTTTCTTTTGAAACAACAGAACTTTGATGGTAGCAAATTATATTACATTCATAGTGTGAAAGGAAGCCTGCAATGTTACTTTCAGGGGCCATAAGAGGTCAAGAAAATTACCTTGGGGAAATAGCCCCTTGCACAAAGCAAATGAGCCAACGATAATTTGCTTTTGTCATTTACTGATATATGTCAAACAAAACGATTCTTACAAAGTTTCCATCACCAATAAGCTTGTTCTAGGCCTATAGCCATTAAAGCTGGCAACTGATATTGTTATTTACTTAATTATAAGATTAGTAGTAAGTTTTTGTTATCTTATTTTTTATCACATGATGGATCAATCTTGCTTATTATTTCAATCATTTTTACGGGGGTTTTACTCATTCAATTCTTTAAATAGAGAAAATGACATTTTGGGATAGTTCCAAATTAGTGCTTATATATATAATGAGAAAGTATCAACTTATATTTGTGGACACTATTTTTAACTATTGATTTCAATAAATCTAAATAATGAAAGAGACATGTCAAAAATTTAAAATTAATGTTTAAAAAAATGTATAAAACTTGAACTGAATCAAGGATGTGTCCATGTTAACATTCAATTCTAACATTTTGTTGACAGCTATGATGATAAGATCGTTGAATTAAGATACCTTGTTGATCAAAAAATTGGAGAAGAGAGGTTTCTTTATTTTCCATGGCATTATCATTTCGAAGTGTTTTAATAATATAGGAGAATTGGGTTTTAATCATGGTAACAAACTTTAAAACTTTATGTAAATTTGTGTTAACTCAGACCTTTGTTTAAAGAAATAAATTCATGTAAAACGAGGATAATCATCAACAAATATAATAAAGTACCGATCACCAGTTACTGAAGGAACAGGTGAAGAATTCCAAACGTCTAAATGGACAAGTCTAAAAGGAGAATTAGAAATAGAAGAGCTATTATTAAAAGAAATGGTTGGCTATTTATCAAGTTGATGGTGCAAATAATTAAAAGACTCAAATTAAGCAAACCCTAACAATCCACAAGAAACCAAGGGACAAAGTTTACTTGTGGTAGCGTGACCAAGACGGAGATGCCACTTATACAGGGAAAGAGTAGTTGTTGTGGCAGCAAAGACTTGTTTAACAAGAAGATGAAGAGAAACAAGCTCAAATAATTGTCTCACCTTGCGACCTGTCCCGAGAATCTTTTCCGTTTAAGGATCCTGTACCTTACAACCAGAAGAAGAAAAAATAACAGGATCACATAATTAACCGACAGAAATAAGGTTGAGCCTAAATGGGGAACACAATAGGTATAAGGAAAACTAAGATGTGAGTCAGAAGCATGGCCAATGTGAGTGATATGCTTTTTTTGTATCATTAGCATTATGGATTGAAGGAAAACATGATGTGGACATCTTATTTGTTATGCTGGAAGAATTAAAAGTCATATGGTTGCAACAGGCAGAGTCAAAATACCAAGAAGAATTACCCAGAATGAAAGATGGTGCAAGAAAAGAGGAATTGGAAGAGATAACCTTTTTTTAAAGAGTCACAAGATTGTTAATAGTGAGAGAAGTATTTCCCTCAGAGGTAGCAGCTGTAATAGATGAAGATGATCCATATGCAGAAAACTTTTCCTATAAAGTAGGATCAGGGAGTAGAGTACCATCCATCAGAGTAAGCTTAACACTGGGCTTCAAAGGGTTAGAGACAGTTTCATTATCAGTAAGACCAGCTTGAAAAAATAAATCAGATGCATGTTTAACCTGAGAAATAACTATCAGAATTAGACGATACTTCAAGTCCCAAGAAATAACTGAGATCCAAGATCCTTCATTTCAAATTGCTAATGAAGAAACTATTTTAATTCCGCAATGCAAGACTGATCGCCACTAGTAATTATCATATCATCCACATAAAAAAGAAGAAGAAGAAGAACAACAATGCCCTGCTTAGTATGTTGAACAAATAATGCCAAATCATTTGAGCTCGAATTGACACCTAGCTGAGTAATAGCAGAACTGAATTTGTAGGGACAGACAAGATTTTTGTAAGGTGATGGCTGTGTTGTACTGTTGTTTGTGTGACAGTAAAAAGGATAAAGATCACTAAGCATGGCATTAGATAGAAACAAAACATAGAGGCTTTAATACCATGTTAGAAAAGAAATAATTCTGAATACATTAGCTTAAGAAAATACTATACATAAGTATCCTATTTATATAAAAACACTTTCACTAACTAAGAAAATAAACAATCTCATACAATATCGTAATCATAGTGTAATCTTAAATTTTTTTTAATTATAATCTCATAATTCCTAACATAATTACTTAGTATTACATTAACAATCCTATTTCTTATGGTTCACTTTAAAAGCATGGTTGCAAGTTATCAGAAAATACAGCTCAAGGCAACGAAAATGTCATATTTTTTTGTCAACCAGTTCAATTTTTATACAAGTATTTGGAGAATAAATTTTGAATGCATTGGTCCAATATTGAGTAATATTATTCATATTCCACAAGGACCAAAGTTTTACAAACAAAATTATTCATATATCTGGTTTGGTTAGACCTTTGGCGTTTGTTGCTCTCATAGCAAATTTTCTAGTTTATCCAAAGAAAAAAAAATGCAAAAAAACCCTTATGACATCCACTGGTAGCAGTGAAAACTCAACATTATTGCAGAATCATTAATTTTAATTTATAAAGCAAATAACAAGGTTTGTGGTTCAACCTTAGCTATCTATACCTGGAACTATCTCTCAAGTTGTCCAGAGAAGTGCCCGCGGCATGTGAATCAAAAGGATACCTATGGACAAGGGGGAAAAGATAAAATAAGTGCTTCAGAAAGCTTCGGTTCCTTCAAGACAATATCTGAAGCATGAAAAATTTTCTAAACTCAATGCTGAAAAATGTAAGCCATATATTAATGTAGCAGTATCCGCAACAGAAACTACACATAAAAGTTGATGGGGGAGAAATTCTACTACTCTAGTGATACAGAACTGAAAAAAAAATTCTTGGTTATGTAATAAAGTTCTCATGCTCCCATTCATGAATTGAGAATTGTCGTGATTTAAATATACAACAAACAAACTGATCAAATCTGAGATTTAGTTCGACTGGTTCATATAACTACTTTTAAGATATGTCATCCAGCATGTATGAGATTCAAATTCTGGCATTTGCAACCCTTCTCTTATCCCAAGCTATGGTATGATTTTCTTTGTATTAAAAAAAAAAAAAAAGAGACTGGCCATCTTTAACGGTATATGGACAGAAGGAATCTAATTTCATTACATTACAAACTATTAACGAGTTTGTATTTGTTGAAGTTTAGTATGACTGCATTTTAATAACCAAGCACGACAAAGAGGAAAAATCACTGACTTTAAAGTTCTGCAGCACGAGAGCTGCACCCATCATCACTTCTAGATTATTGGTCTGGCATCAAATTAAGCTGGACCCTGATATATGTAGTGGCTAATTTTTCAAGGAACTCAGTGGTTCTTGGATGATTCAGGTCTCCTCTTTCTTTATCAAACACTGCAAAACAAAGAATATTATTCAGGCCAAGACAACCATGTCTAGTACCAATAAATAGACTAACAAATAGGCACCAAATAATTGATATATATAAATTTATATCTGAATGACTTGATGAATGTGTCAACTACTAATAAGTAGATCTTGTAAATATTACATGTTGACACAATATGAAAATAAAATGATAAAAAAACATGGAGACGTAATTTAAAATTTTAATAAAAACTTCATACGAATTTAGCAAAAATCAAAATATAAATTTTGTATTTGACTTGATATAAATTTTAACATGACAATATTCATATATTATACGCATTAGATGTGAAATAGACACA